CCTTTTGCTCTTATATATACAATATATTTAAAAAATAATAAGTATATATTATTTATAATATAATTTACAATATATATATATATATATATATATATATATTGTAGATATATATATATATATATATGTGTGTGTGTTTTATTAGTTATAAATAAATTTATATTTAATATATAAGTATGTGTAAATTTGTATGTATATATATTAATTTAAATAAATTATTCAATTTAAAATTTGTTTGAAATGATTATATGATATAATTATGATGACGTGTGTATGACTTAGAAGTCATGTCATTGCTATATCATCATTTTTGTTTGATTTGGTAGACGCGGAGGATTTTCAATGAATTTTTAAAAAATTCGGGGTTTTATAAGTTAATTACACCAAATACATGGTTTAAGTAAACAAAAAAGTACAGATTTTGTTTTTGTTAACTCAGAAAGAATACATAGTTTTTTCGCGATTTTTTTTTAAATAAAAATAAATTTATACTCTCTAATATTCCAATATGAATTTTATTTAAAAACTAAAAAATAATTTTATAATTTTTAATAGAGTTGAGATATATATTATAATTTTTAAAAATAGAGTTTAATTTAGTGTTAAAAGTATGGTAAATCAAATAGTTTAAACCGAACATTTCCCATTTAGAGGAACTTCTCCTAGGTATTATTTTGCACCAAGGTTGGTGGGGAGCAGATGGGCCCCTCGTTCATATTAGGCCCATTGGGATTTACTATCCCGTTTGGGGACAGCATTGCCTTCGTGACCAAACAGTCGGAAACCAGACAAAGGAAGGTTGCACGCCAATCTTCCCGCGTATTTCACACTTCAATCGCCTCGGCGGCGGAGTTTGCTTCTCTCAGCAGTCAATCCAGGGTCTCGTTTACTGTCTTGTCTCTCGATCCTGTCTCTTGAGTTGCTGAATCGCCTCATTTTTGTGTTTCGTTTTTCGGGTAAGCCTCAATCTCATCAGATTTGTCGGCGAATTTTTCTGGCCTATGATCGCATTTCTAGGGTTTTTTGTGGGAAGAATTTCATGCTCTCTGCTCTATGAGCTTTCTGTGTGTGAATTCGGTGCAGATTAAAGTTAGAAGAAACTCGGAATTCTGTTTTAAGCTAAATTTGAGCTGAAATATGAGCAGTTCCAGAGAGGAATCTCCCGATTGGCTTCGCTCTTTCCAGGTTTCAGATTTATGGATTGATTTTCTCGAATCGTTGCTTATTGATCCTTTTTTTTACTTGAGATGTGCTTAGAAATAGGAACTTTTGTTGCACAGGCACCGGCTGCATCCCTGGTGTCATTGTCTTCACCAGATGATAGCCCATTGAGGGAATCTGAAACCAGTTCGCCTCCTCTCGAGAAAGATATCAGTCATGCCATGCTTCCCGATGAAAGTGCCAGCACTCCCCCTAAGATTAATTCGGAAATAAAGTCTGTGAAAAAGCAGATGAAGATCGAGCATGCGTTTTCCAGAAGGAAGAAAGCAGATAAACCAGGTATTGTTCGGTAATGGAAAGACTATACAGGTCGTTTATTACCCGAGCTAGAGTCCTTGCGGAAGGATCAGAAATTCTGATTGCCGGTCAGTACTGCTTTATTTCTGGTCATCTTATTACAGGGAACCAGAACGGGAACAAAGCTGACAGTGAAGAAACCTGTAAGAATCATACGGAGGAGACTCAGGTAAGAAATTTTATGTGCACTGTCCCCTTTGTACACTTGCAGCCTTCTCTCAGCTGCTGCTTGCATTAGTGGATAGTTAGTGTGGTTTGGTTTGCGCTTTTCTTGTTTGATAAATGAAGTATAATCACACAGTGCTCCTTCTGGTCTTGCTCTGGAGCAACGGTCGATCTGCTGTTCAGTTAAAGAGGAAAATTGTCGGTAGTGTCTCATTGGTACTCTTACAGTCTGTTTGGTCCTACTTTCCTCAGCGGTCAGTCAATGAGATTTTAGCTGTTATTATATTCACGAGTATGTTTGATTAGTGAACTATTGTATATGATTAGTGAACTATTGTATATAATGTGCAAAGTATGTGGATATGCTGATTTTAAGCTTGGTCCGGTGCTACTGTCCTCATTTAGGAAATTATGATTCTCTCTCTTTTTTCCTCTTTAGCAAGGTCTAGACCGTTGTGTTTATTTTTTCTAATCAGCAGGGGCTAGATCATTCTGTTTTGGTCCTCTCATCAGATTCTGAACCATCCTCTGATAGCATGACGAGACCACCACTTAACAAGGCTACTGAAAAAGCTGAGGATGATGCTATGGTAGCTGAAGTGCAAGAGATTTCGGTTAAGAAGGGTCCAAAGGAAAAATCTCCAGGGAAAGACTTGAAGAGCAATCAAACACCAAAGAAAGAAAATAGTGCTAAAGAAGTTGCGAAACATGAAGGTACTAATTGTATCAGGGTTTAGTGAATTTGTAAAGTGTTCATGAAAAGAAATGTAACCTTTCCTCAAATCCTGCAGATAAAGAATGCGATGCAGAAACTGACGTGGAGGCAGCTTCAAATAAGAATATTAAACCTTGTGTGAGGACCTTTGTGCTGGACTGAGATTGTTGTTTATCCTCTGTTTTTTCTTTTGGGCTTATGGACAGATTTATAAATTCCAGGTTTCTACTTCAAGATTGCCTTTGGTTCTTTCTGAGAAGGTGAACCGTAATAAGGTATTGCACATTAGTTTCTTTGTATATGGTTTTCAATTTAGTCCCTGCGTTATGCATCCTTTATATGGGCTGCTGACTTTCTATACTGTAGAAAGTTTCTATTTTAGTTTTTGTTTTATTTGCATACGTTTATTGAAGATTGATGGATTAGAAAAACACATTAAATGATGGTTAATATAAAAGCAATGAACTACCTGTACAGGCACTCGTTGAATGTGAAGGGGACTCCATAGATTTGAGTGGAGACATGGGTGCGGTTGGACGTATAGTTGTCTCAGATACAAACCAGGAAGTGTTCTTGGACTTAAAAGGCATGTTTCCTCAATATACAATTTGCTCCTTATCTATGTGTTTCATGATTTGTGATTGCTACAAACCGAAGTCCAACTTCATCTGTTCCAAATCTATCACCAAGATTTTTTTTTAGCTTTGGACTTACTGGTCATCGACTTTTTCAGGAACCATATACAAAACATCAATTGTTCCGTCCAGAACATTTTGCGTGGTATGCTTTGGCTTCTTTCTACTTGTATAAGATCGATTATCACATAAGATTAGTGGTTGCTGCACACAATTGCTTAGGCCCGGCACATTTTCTGTTTCAGGTTAGCGTAGGTCAATCAGAGGCCAAGGTCCATTACCGCTCTTGCCCTTTCATTTTTGTGTTCATCTATTTGTTCACATCACCCTTACATATAATTTCCTCCTTTTCTCCATTTCACATGTCCATACTTTGGCTGCTGATTAAGAAACGGAAACATGTTATTAGAGACGTAATGTAGTATCGGGTCATGTCTCCTGGGCAGATTGAAGCTATTATGAATGACTTCATACAGCTAAAACCGCAATCCAATGTTTACGAGGCAGAAACAATGGTCGAAGGTCAGTTTGTATTTTTTTCACCTCTCTATGTCTTGTTGATTTGGAAGACTGTACGGGTTACACGGAAAATGCAACATTTCTTTCAAGTAAAACATCCTTTGTTTAATGGTTTCCTTTAGAATTTGCCCGGGAAAAAAAAGTTCTCGTAATTGCCACAGGAGCATGTACGATAAACTGTTCCGATGATATATAAACTAATTCGAATCAGTTTTTTTGTGTTTTGTTTTATGCGGTGATTAAATCCGACCCATGTAGGCACATTGGAGGGATTCTCATTCGATTCAGAAGACGAAGGCGAGAAGAAACCCAAGAACGGTTCGATACCGATGGATAAAAGCGAAACCAACGAGGGACAAGCCAAAGGCAAAGCCCAGAAAGCATCTGTAGGTTCATTTCACAAAACCCATACTTTCCACCCCCGAAATCAGAGTTTCATGTCCATGTAGCGAGTAAAGTATTTGCTTCAACGTTTTTGCTATTGGGGGGATTTTCTTTTAATGCAGGCTTCAGGAAAGAAGAGAGGAAGGCCTGCTAAGGAAAAAAAGGCTCAGCCGGCAAAGAAGGCACGAAGGCAAAGCACTGCTCCAAAGAAGGCGAAAGCCAAGAAGTAGCAAGTTTCATCCTTCCATTTTAATTATAAAAAAAAAAACCTTGGTTTAAGTCTTTTCTTCTTTGTTGATTATTGTCTGATTACATGAAATAGAGGTACGTGTTATTATTACACTAACAATACAAATGTTTCTAGGAGCATGTCTCTCTCTCGACTCTTTACTTGAAGAATCTTCAGGTTCTAGGATTCATTTGGAGCAGGAATCTGTGCTTCCCAGTGCCCTCTCTTATATGGGGGCAGTTATAACTTATTGGTAAATGAGTAAAAGATACAGCAAGCAAAGACACATAAACTAGCATGGCTATGGATCTTCACATATCCGTACAAGGGGGAAAAAAGCCAATTTGGTTAATAACCAAATATTCCAACTGATGTAAAACAAATAGCATAATGGCAATCCAAGTGAATCAAATACAAAAATTAAATGGCTATAATTTTTTTTAAAACCGAAAAAATAAAGTCTGCCGAATTAAAATACAATCGAAAATATCAAAAACTTTCTTTGAAAAGACAATTATTTTTATCATTAAAAATCAAAACCGAACTGAGCTGAAATAGAATCAAACCGAGGCAAACCAGATTCAATATAAATAATGAATGACTACAAATTTTTAGAAGATAGGCCCTTTGAGGTTTATACAAAAAAAAGGAGTTGGGGAAAGATCCAAAACTTTAGAGTGGTGAAGTTGCTTTAGAATCATATAGTCTCTCCTCAGCCGCAATACAATAATTTGGGTGTTTTTGCATTCCCTTCCAGAGCATGGCTTCTCCCACATTCTTGTTGCCTTCAAACAAATTGTAACAAAGGGTAACCCTATTTTTCGTATTCACATTTCGCCCCACAAAAAAGAATGGGAGAGTATACACTTAAGAACAAGCAATGGTTGTACAGATTACGTACCAGGATGAATCCCTTTTTCCGCCTACGCGGCATGGAGGTGGCTTATGGGTTTGTACGTAGTCTTCTTCACGCGCTGCTTTTGTCATTTCTTCGTCGTCACTCTTTCGCAGACTTAAAAGAAAAAAAAGTTCACATCTTCTTGGCTACGTTTTTTTTTAAACAGACTCGAATCTGGGTGTTTTTTTCCCATCTGATACACTGAATCGCATATTTGATCGAATTTAGGGTTCCCTTTTCTATTTCGTTTTCGGAGACTGGAATCTGGGATTTCCTTCCGATTCCTCGAAATCGCGTATTTGAACCAGAACATGGAAGACTTATTGCTGGATTCACTTCCGGTGGGCTTGAGATTCCGACCAACGGACGAGGAACTGGTCCGGTACTATCTCCGTCTTAAGATCAACGGCAGCAGGAAAATGAGAAGCCAGATTGTGCCATTCAGTTGAGTAATCAAAACTGTATTATCTTCAAGTCAAAGCTTTTGAAAGAGATTGTATCGAGTCAGGGGATTGATCTCTGAATTATTCTTGCATCTGCAGCAGAAACAGATAGAACGGACCAAATTACGCGACATATCAGATGTCGACACAAAACCCACCTAAAGCAGATGGGGAACACTAGTGAGGAGTGAATTAATGATCAATCAATGCACGGAAATTGTCATAGCAGACAGAATGAAGACAAAGAAAATGCAGTATTTCTGTGAGAAAGCTCACAGTAAAACCAAAAACGTGAGTTAAAAGTGCCTTCTCTTGTAAATTACCATGAGATGAGAGGCTGATAGCTTGAACATTGTTCGTTGCCCTTCCCCTTGATTTCTGGAATATCATTTTATGTTGCCAGTGAATATGAGAAAGTATGCAGTCGCGTGCGCACAAGAGGGCCTACAAAGAAAGATTTAAACTTCCAATAGTTAGATTTGTTCTCCCTCATTTTGGAATATTCAGAAAAAAAAAACACAGCAGTGAAATTATTTTTAGATAATAAGCACAATTAAACTCCAGAATTGCAGCACTTTGAAACCTGCACAAACAAAATATTTTCAGGACACCATGCACTTGTTAATAGTGAATCATGTTTCCAACTCAACAGATCAATGGATTACGATTATATCTAAATGATAACAAACCAGCAAAGTTCCTTCGTCTTGAAGAACCTGATAAAACCTGCACTGCACTGGTTAGCAATGTGGACAAGAACTGTATCACCACACTTGCAGGAATCACCAATGGGTGGCCGGGCACTGAATAATGCTAGGTTTCAAACAACTGAGGCTAACCAAAACAAGATATAAAACTATACAGAATTACAGATGCTGCCGCCTAAATCATTGTATCCAGAAAAAGGGTCAGAGAAGAAACATCAGAAGACAAACATAATAAGATATAACATGTTATTCTATTAACCAGCAGAGCAATAAAGATACCATGTCCCTCCTACATAACTACTACATAGAGTTTGACAACATTAGCATAAGACACTCCTTCAGGCAGACAGGATACCAGACCCCCTGTTAGAGGAGAAGTCACATAACGTCTCTTAAGAAAGAGAGGAAGTTATTTTGCGTGATATAAAGAAAAGCCTCGCTGATCTAATGTAGAGGAAGTCAACATAAATTTAGCTCGTATCCATTCCATCTCCAACTTGGCTGCAGATTGGAGTGACCGCAGAGAAGGACCTCTCAAAAGGAGAAGAATGGAACTGCGCATCACGTCGACGACGCTTAAACGTGCAGCTCTCAGAGGGCTGAGTTTCGGCATCAAGTTTCCTCCGGATCCCTTTAACCGCCTGTTCTTCAGCAGACGAGAGAGGAAATATCCGGCCGCTGGCTCGGCACAATGAGCTATTGTTATCATACAAAATCCGCTGGTTACAGTTCTTGTCGCAGACATGAGTCAACCCTGTTAGTTTGCAGCGATACATATTCCCACAAACATTTTCATTCTCACACTTCCAGTCACATTTGTGAGCCAGAATGGGCCCATCACGACCCAGAATGGCAGACAAGTAAATAACGTTCGCAGAGCCAACCACAGGGGATTTTCCAAATACCTCCATCTTTTTCTCCGAACAAACAATCTATTGCCTTTGATCCGAAATCTCCAAAATGCCTTCGCTCTGCAGGGCCCAAGAAAGCCGAAGAAAGGATCAATATCATCACAAGGGAAGGAGGCGTGTGAAGCGGAAAGTTCCACACCCAGCTAATCAATTCTACAATTTCGATAATCTCCCAGATCCCCAGAAACTCCCTTCCAAAATCATATAGATTGCACTCCACGCAGACAGAAGACTGCATTTACTATCTAAGACATAAATCGAAAACAAACTGAGGGAGACCGCAAGACATGTAATGCTCGAGATCGAAGATGCCATGCCTCGTACAGTCGGTCTATAAGTGTACACAGCGAGATCTATAACGCAGATACGCAACTAATACGCAGATTCCGCACATCCAAAATGAGAAATTTCACAAAATCAAACAACTAAACTAAACCAAACCACGGAAAAATACCGCTGATTAGGTATCAACACATAGCTCAGAGATCCGAGGACAAGGGCGGACGTTGGAGAATGAAGCGAAACGCATAACCAGGAAGGAGAATCTAAGAGAAAATTAAGGTATCAGAAGCGAATTAACAGTGAGAGGGGCAGAGAGATGCGTACCTCAAGATAAAAGATGCAGCTGCAGCGAAACCCTAACCCTAATTTCAATTCAGACTTAGAAAGAAGACAGAAGGCTGAACAGAGGGAGAGGAGGAACAAGGTGGAAGGTATTTATAGATGAGACTCGCACTGTCTTCTAACGGATAGGATCCGACTCCGTTAGTGAACAGTCCGATTTACGGGTCCCACCTCGTTTTCTCCTTTTTATTATTTTTTTATTTTTTTGTTTATTTAATTTCCACCGATTTTTCACCTATATTTTCTATTCTCGTTTGTAAAAAAGGTGTGGTCCGTGTGGATAATTTATTTATTTTTGCGATGACCAAACTAACATCTAAAAATATAAATTATATTTTAGAATAACCATAATATACATGCTTCAACTATTTACTTATATAAGCGCTCCAAATTTTATAACCCACGTTTTCCTAATACATATGTGAAATTTATCTTCTATAGCTTTTCCATTTCGCTTTCTCAATTTTTAATCATATGTAATCATGACCCAATTAGATAAGGACATAATATCTAAAACGGATCTATGTTTTTTCAGGCCTTATCAGGACATATTGGCATATAATATTTCTTTAAAACCAATATAATATGTAATTTATATTACCAAAAAAAAATATAATATGTAATTTAATAAGAAGCAAAAAAAAAAGGTCAAAAAGGTCAAAGGAGGAAACGGTAAGAAGGGCGCCAAGAGAGGCAGAGAGAGTGGTATGTGGCCCCACCTCTTGACCCGCCTTCGTTGCTCCTTCACACTAATTTTCTCCATTGTTTGAATAATGTTTTACTTTTATTTGAGAAAAAAAATCCTAAATAAACATGAAAAAAATGCTAAAAATATATAAAAACTAAAAATAATAGATAAATAGTTTAATTATTTAAAAACTATCACGTTTTTTTAAGATTTTTAAATGCATTTAATAGGTACGAAAATCGATATCGAATATTGATATGATTGGTCAAAATATTGAGTCAATAATTTATCAACGTCATGTCAATAAAAAATTGACTCCATCCCTAAAATTACCTAGCCAAACAGAAAAATGAAAAAAGAAATAGTTAGAATGATCTAATGTCTTCAAAACCATTATTATTCAATGTCTCATATAAGAAATTGGTTATCCAGAAAAAAGTTGTTCTACATATTCAAACTTTAATTTTAAAACAATTATAAATAAAAATTAGAGGTAATTTTTATTTTTAATAAAAATTATATAGTTTTAAAATTTTTAATGATAATTAAAAATAATTAAATTTTTAATAAATATAACAAATATCTTTGAAACTATTCATGGTGATTGTAGATATATGATTAGAAAACGGTGAAATTAATTTTAAATTCGAACTAAGAATAATATCGATTTACAATATTGAACTTAAAATAAAATTATTTGAATATCTATTTTTTAATACAATCTATTTCTGTGATTGGATATGAAAATAAGATAATTTAGCTCATTATAAATTAATTTTAGTTAGGGAAATAAAAAATATTATTTAATTTTAAAGAAAGTCTTTATGAAATAAGATAAATATAAATAATGAGTTTATCATAATTATTATATAATTTTTAAAAGAAATAAAGTGAAATAAATAAATATTTTTATCCAAAGATAATTCAACCGGTAAAATATATTGCAAAATATTTGTCATGTCCTGAATTTAAAATTCAAGTTTAGGGTGGGGTATTCACCTGATTTTTTTGATTTTAGGATTAATTTGGACTTTGGTTCAAAATATCCGATCGCAATTCTACGAGATAAGTTTTTTCTTTTAAATCAAATTAACCAAATTAAACACACAAAATTTTAAAATTGAACACAGAAATGTTCGCCTTTGAATAAGAAGAATAATGCAAAGGCTCCGACAGCCAATTTTAGAAAACAAAGAGAATCGGTTTGCTCTAGCTAGAGATCACGAGAAGTGCAACACATATTGATATGGAAGTCTTCAATCTAATCATGAAATGTGAGTTTGCGAGTGGATTTTTTAATAACCAATTGTTCTATTTCATCTTTGGGAGAATTATCCTCAAATAAAATCACAAGTTTTTTTTTTGTATTGAAAAAACTTGCTTAAAATGGGGGAAGCCCCTAACCCAGTTGGTAAAGTGACAACTCAAAAGCCATGTGTGGTGGAGAGTTCGATTCCTCCTTGTGTCAAGCTTCCCTCTGAGCCGGTCAGCTTCGGCTGGTTTACCTGCTCCGCGTGGTTTACCGGCTATTGCGTGGAGTCGTTGGGTTTATCGTCCGCGATACTGTGTCATTCGTCCGACTCTTTGGACTGCGAGGTGTTGCGATGTCCGACCCGAAAAGTCGAGGGCGAGTTCCCAGCGTTATAAAAAAAAAAAAACCTTGCTTAAAATGACAATAATCCTCTCCTCTTTTTGTAGTTTCTTTTAGTGTTTGATTATCCTCTTTTTTTTTTTTGGTAAGGTGTTTGATTATCCTTAACGAGTCTGTGTATGTTTTCATTTCATTAGAAGCGGACACAACATATTCAACTTGTACACGTGAAAGGAAAATTTTAAAATTGAATTATCCATAAATATATGAAAAAAACCTTGAATAAGACCGAACTAGTTTCCAAAGTTCGCGGTTCAGACCTCCAAAGTCAGCGAATCTACTGCGAAATTAACAGATAGATTCCACGAAACTGTTTATTACACGTGTCCTAATCTAATTCGATGTATGATACAACTCCAGGGGTAAAACCGGTAATTCTATTTTTCCGCCTACGCGGCATGGAGGTGGCTTATGGGTTTGTACGTAGTCTTCTTCACGCGCTGCTTTTGTCATTTCTTCGTCGTCACTCTTTCGCAGACTTAAAAGAAAAAAAAGTTCACATCTTCTTGGCTACGTTTTTTTTTAAACAGACTCGAATCTGGGTGTTTTTTTCCCATCTGATACACTGAATCGCATATTTGATCGAATTTAGGGTTCCCTTTTCTATTTCGTTTTCGGAGACTGGAATCTGGGATTTCCTTCCGATTCCTCGAAATCGCGTATTTGAACCAGAACATGGAAGACTTATTGCTGGATTCACTTCCGGTGGGCTTGAGATTCCGACCAACGGACGAGGAACTGGTCCGGTACTATCTCCGTCTTAAGATCAACGGCCACGACGACGACGTCAGAATCATCCGAGAGGTCGATATCTGCAAATGGGAGCCCTGGGACTTGCCTGGTACTCTCTCTCTCTCTCTCTCTCTCTTCCTCTC